CCTGGGCACAGAGAGAACTGCTCCTGTCTGTGCTCCTGCACTCTGAAGATGCCGGTCACAGGTGCTGGCGAAACGTTAGGAAACAAAACTTCAAGACCACGGCCACACAGCCCGGAAGAACCACACCAGCCATCGTATGCCGGCCGTGAAAGCCTTCGACAATACATTTATTCTGTTCCATTGTCACATCAATCTGCATTTCTAAAGTATATATGAAATTGTGCACACATTTTTGTGTGCTTTTCTAACATATACAATATTGGTCAAGTGATTTCTCTAATACAGTACATTACATTTTTATGCATATTATCCTTCAGTACAAACATGTATGTATATATGGTTTCTTGAATGTGTATCATAATAGGGTTGAAAACTGCTAATATCACCATATAAATCTTGATATTGAATTAGGGATCCCTCTTCTATCTTCTTCGTGCCATGTCTGTTGTGTGTAGAGATCAGAGTATTTAAATGCAGCTTTGTCATTATTATTCTCTGCTCTTCCTATTTTTTATAATTTTATTAAAAGTTTTTTAAAAAGAAGATAAAAACTAATCGAAACTAATATAAAGTAAGAAAGAAAAAATAAAAAAATAAAAATAAAAATAAAAAATCAAGCTAAATGTGCAAGGGAAAAAGAAAAATAGAAGAAAAAAGATAAAAAGAAGTGGCTTCCAATTTTCTTTACGGCAGTTATAAGTACAATTATAAATTTACCTCTTTCTCTAAAGTTACATCATAACTCTTTTATTTCTATAATCTATCCTATATAATAATCAAACCCATAAATCATAAGTTCATTTTTTTCTGTTTTCTGAAAAAAGCCCATAAAGGGTTTCCAAGCAGCAATAAACGTAGATACTGTCTTTTCTCTGATCAAAGAAGTCAATTTAGCCATCTCAGCAAGTTCCATCATCTTCACCAACCATTCCTCCATTGTGGGTATTGCTGAATCTTTCCATTTTTGTGCGTATAATAATCTCGCTGTAGTTATCATATACAAAAACTAAGTTCCATGACTTTTTTCGAACTGTTTGTCCATCAGTCCTAAAAAATAGACCTCTGGTCTCAATTGTATGTTAATCTTTAAAATTCTCTGAATCAGTGTATGTATTTGAATAAAATTTTCTAGCTTTTTTACACAACCACCAAGCATGATAAAATGTCCTTTCTTGTTATTCATATTTCCAACATGTATTTGAAGTGCCTTTATACATTCTAGACAATTTCTCTGGTGACAGATACCAACAGTACATCATTTTATAAAAATTCTCTTTAAGATTATAACATAGTATAAATTTCAATCCTAGATACCAACAGTACATCATTTTATAAAAATTCTCTTTAAGATTATAACATAGTATAAATTTCAATCCTTTCAACCACATATTTTCCTATTGTTCCATCTGTATATTTTAATCAAAAAATTTAGTCCACTTTATCATACATTCTTTCACTTGTACTTCTGTTTCAAATTTCAATAGAATTTTATACATTTTCACAATTACATGTTCATAATTTGTACATAATTCCATTTCAAACTCAGTCTTACAAAGTTCAAAACTATAAACTCTTTTGTCTACTTTAAATCCTTTTAATATGTGTAAATAAAGAAACCTTTTGCCATCAGTTCTTCTTTTGATTTTATTTTGCATTTCCCTTGACAGAATTCTAGTATTTCATGATAAGTTAGCTATTTGTCTGTTATTTCTCATCTCTAAACTGCTTTTTGTGCTGAGAGCCACAAAGGTATTTTTGGGCACAACCTGGATTTGAATCTATTCCATGAAGATTTACGTGTCAGTGTGTTGAACTGGGAAGTTTCCTAAGATACCTTTGCATTTCTTTTCAAGTTAAACCATAGTTTGTAATATACCACAAAGATTATCTCCACTGACTTGGTCTTCCACATTGGAAAGCATCCATTGAACACTAGGACAATTTTAATAATTCTTTGTAGAGTTCTGTCACATTCTCTGCTTGTTGTGGGTGGTATGGGAAGATATAGGTAAACACAGACACTTGGAACAAAGGAACAAAATGACTTTATTAAATAACTAAAAACAGAAGGTTTAAAAGAGGTTCACTTATTTCTGCAAATTGTCTGCAAATTATTCTTCAACTGGTCTCCCTTTCTCTGACAGGAGAAGGTATTCCCAGGAGTGACTCTGAGGCTCCCTCAGTCCTGTCCTTCCATATGTGCTCCCCAATTCTCTTTCACTAATTCTCCCCTCCTGCTGGAATATAACATAGTATTGTCATCTTTTGATTAGCATTTTACCACCCAATCATCACAAGCTCATGATTGGTTTAACAGCTATGACTTAACACAGATGTTTGCCTTCTCTGTCAATATATGTTTTCATGGCGTGGTAACATTTATACCAGTGCTTGCCTTAGACATCTGATACTGCTATATGCTTCATAATTACTAATTTTAAAAAAGTTACAATAATTCAAACAAAAACAATATAAATCTAGATAGCTGCAGCAGAAGAGAACATTTAGTAAAGCAAGAATACTTTTAATAAGAAAACTGCCTCAATAAGATGTTCTTTGATATAAAAAAATGTAAGTCTCCTCCAAGTCCACTTTATTTTGTATTGATGAGCTATCACTTGGCATTCCAGACAATCTGGACAGGTTTAGAGAAGTACAACAGGGTGAGTAGGGTTTGGAACTAGAAACTTTTGAGTAAAGATTTTGGAAATTTTAGACTTGGAAAGGCTGAGTGGGGATATGATAGCACACATAGAGATTGTCATAGAAAAGAGAATTTCCTTTCCTCTCCAAGAGGGGGGGATGGAAGTTACGTAAAACCCTATACATGCAGCCATGCGTAAGGTAGCATCTGGACCTGTCTGCTCTGAGAGTGTAGGGGAAAGTAGACAACACTCTGATAGCTTACAGAACAGAAGAACATGTTCTGTTCTTTTAAAGTATAGGATATGAAATCATCAATTTAGGGACAAGGAGTCAGATTCCAACTGAGTATTAGGAAGATTTCCTAATAGTAACAATAATTTCCTAGGGAGATGGTGGACCTGAATGTACTGTATTCAGGCAGTGCCTGCGGAGCTACCTGTTGTCACAGATGCTAAAAGATCAGCAGGTTGCCTTCTGCAGAAAACTTGTTGGCTGACTGTATTGGTTAGGGATGATGGCAGTGTGAAGTTGTTGCTTACCAAATAAAATGTTTACATTGAAAATAAACAGGAAAAAAATTAAATTTAAAACCATACTTTTAAAGGAAAGAATTAAGCTGTTTAGATTTGCATATTTCCTGAAACCTGGGCTTTCTTCTGTGCTTTGCTTGGACAAGCCATAAAGCCGAGAAAGTTGACAGAGTTGCAAGCAAATTTGGGGGGGGGGGGTGTCATAGCCACAGCTTGAGAACTTCTGCATTATTAATACGAATCTCTTTTGTGGTGGACTGGATATCTCATAATATTCTTATTTTGACCAACTTAGTTCTGATGAAGCAATTTTTAAACAAATTTAAAAAGTAAGTTTGATTTTTAAAAGAGTGGGTTTTTTTGGCAATTTATTCAATTTAAGCATTTGTTATTTGGATTATTCTTGATACTATTGCAGCTTCTGAAGTTCCACATCCGTTAGAGGTTTTGGAGGAAATAGTTAAGGCTCCTAAGCCAGTAAAACTTGTTATAAAACAATGAAGGAATAAGAACGAGTTCCATTCCCAGTCTGTCCTTAAGTCAAATTTGTATGAAAGACGGAACAGTGTTATTATATAATACTGTATAAGTAGTATTGTGTAATGAACTCGAATCATTGTGTATTTAACTTGAATTCTTAACTATGGGTCGTTCTTAACTATGGGTCATCCTTAAACCTGGCATTCTTAACCCAGGGACTACCTGTAATCATTTAGGCAACTTTTGGAATAAGTTTGAATGTCCTTTTTTAAAAAAAAATCAGTGGTACGTTGCTTAAAATAATTTAAACTATGTGTTTTTGTTCTTAGGATGAGGTTAGTGCTGCATAAATTTTTATTCTGTATATATTGGATACTGCAGAGAATATTTAATAACAGTTAGCTGTAATAGGCTTCCTTTGGAGAATGAGCTCAGGAATTGGAAACATAAACTGCAAAATCTAGGTCTATCCTGTTATTGCCACATTTTGGATTGAAATCTACTGGATTGTTAACATGATTTTAGATTGCTTGTTGAATGTCAAGGAGATGCACGTGTCCTTCTTGGCTCTCGCCCCAGTATTTGGAATCTATCAAGTTATCAAGAATTGCGCATGGGGGATAGCCAAAAGAATTATTATATAACACTGGAAGGATAAATCCACACTGATCTGCAGTAATGGATTACATTGATACGTATTGTTTTAAAGATTAAAGTTGGTCTTTTTTTCAACAAAATGGCATGGAAAGGAGCTTCCATGGTTAAACTTTTGGGGAGTTATTTTCGGTGTTATTTGGTAGACCATGTTTATTTAATTCATTAGTATCGCAGTATTAGCAATTATGTGTGTCTGTAAGTATAT